ACCCCGAAAATATGTATTTGCCCAATATTTTGGATGTTGTAATAGGATCAAGTCATAGGCATCAACATTTACACTCTTAATTTTTGTTATGCAATCATTGAAGTCTATTATAGACAATGCATGTGCAGCTTTTCAATAAAGCTTTGTAAGCGTCGAATTTCTATAGGCCTTTTTGAAGTTATCGGCAAGGTGATTCATACAATAGCCTTGTTCACTGATTGGGAAAACTTTTTCAATTGCGATCCTTTTTTACGATCTGAGATAATAGTTAATGCTGGAAAATCAAACCTCTCGCAAAACTGCTCATTGAGAAGCTTTAGAAACCAAGACCAACTTGGTGTATTTTCACTTTCAACCACTGTATATGCTACATGAAATTATTTTCATTCGCATCTACCCCAACTCTAGGGAATAGTATCCCTTTGTATATTCCCTTCAAAAATATCATATATAGTCCCATCCGTGGCCCACAACCAAACATAAAACCATATAAACATGGACGATTACCTATAAACACACGCTCAAACCTATCATGATCATATGTTTGAATAACTGTTATGGTTCTAGGGCTCGTGATTATAATCTTATGAAGATACTTGGCGAGATCTTTGTATGCATTCACATGGGAACCCTTATGTATCTATTGTGTAACCTTTTTGCCCCGCCATGCTTGTTGGTAAGATAGCATGACACCGTGATCACGTTGTATACCATTAGCCACATATCTAGGTATCAGATTAGGCATATCATTCAAACGGTCTTTGATATTGCTTCTCACCCAGTGGCTTCGAGCAAGCGGGTTATGAACCCTACCAATTCCATCGATACATGAATGTATGTTTACAAACTTCTTCACCCTAAAGAACTTTGTTGTATTGACCCTCCAACGGTACACTTGCCATGAACACCCATCTGCAACACATGTCGCTCATATACGTCTCTCCTTGCTTTTTATAAACTTCATATTGAAGTTTTGTGATATGGCATAATCAATAAGGTGATTACAACATGCCTGTATGTCATTAAAATCCTGACCCTATCGAAGTACAACTTCGTAATGATTAATCCTGAGGGGGCTTTCTATCGGATCAATGTCGTCAATATGCTGCTCGATTTCTGAATCATACTCATTTTCTACGGTTATGCCAACAACACCTTCACTGTGAACTACTTGCTCTAGTCGAGAAGTGTTGTTGAAAATAATTTTAAAGACAAGTGAGAATTATCTTAACCCATAACAAAATATTGACAAATAAAAAATAATAATAAATTTCATTGCAAACTTCTTACATGACCAAACTTGATGGACCATTATTGAGCACTGTTGGTGGTCAATATTCAATGCAGTCGGACTTAATAGGTTTGTGTGATGCATACATAGCAATGGGAGAAGGCCTTTCCATCATATTTGCAATGTCGTCATCATCATCAATACATATCATATTACTGTTACTTGGTAACCTCGGATCAATATACCTAATAGTCATGGTACTTGGGGCATAATTTGATACTTTTGACAAATGATCATTTACTTGATCAAATGATGGGATCCCCCTAAAAAATATAACATTCATGTCTTCACCATTATAGAAAATACATCCATCATTAGATTTCCTCTTGAAAAAACTACCAAAATGTAAAACGATTTTCACTATGTTGTCACCCATTATTGTTGCGTACAAGCTCAATCACTGCATATATATTTTAGATCAAAACAAATATAAAATACTACAGAAAATTTTCAAAATACTTACATATAATGAGGAGGTTGCATTATAGAGGAACATTAGAATGCAATACAAGTGCCACAAAATAAATAAAATTACAATGGCCAACCCAACTGCATCAAGTACTATAGAAAAATAATATTTTGATGGCGAACCATTAAATAAATCTAAAACTTATTTATGCAACAATAAAAATACATCTAAAACTTGTTTATACAATATTTTAATCAAAAAATTACAATGGTCATCCTAACTACATCAAGTACTACAGAAAAACAACATAATACTTTGTTGACATACCTATAAAATAGTGTTGGTGTGCATATTTGATGCTCACGGATTAGGAAATAGCTCTCAGATACCTCATTTAGATAGAAAATGGATGAGAGAGAGAGAGAGAAGGCTAAGGAAGAACAAAATATTTAAAGAAATCGTGCAAATAGGGTTTTATGATAAAAAAAAATTGTCCAAAAAAATGGCGGGCAATAATTATGGTTATTTTTGTACCGTATAATCTATGGAAAGTATTATGGTAGTTCGAGTACCGTAATTGGAGATATTACGGTATTAAAAGTGTCATAAAAGCACATTACGGTAAGTAAAGTACCATATAAACAGTGCTAAACATTACGATATTTAAATTATCGTATAAAATTCGCTAATTATTACGGTTCTTAAATTACCGTAATGTTCTTCACGGTAAAATGACTACCGTGAAGGTTTTTTTCATAAAAAAAAAAACAAAAAATATGAAAAAAATGGTGTAGACGAGATTTATGAAAGTTGGGGTTTTTTCTAATTAAACTAAAATTTAGGTATATTTGTGATAATTTCCTCCTTAATATTAGACCGACTAGTTTAAATAAATAAATACTCCATTTAGTATTAATGGATTTAGAGGAGGATGCGGTTAGCATACGGCCAACCCTCATATTGTAGAAATGTGAGCTTGGCAATAAATATATTTTTTAAATATAATTTGATCCTAAATTTTAGAGAACATATAATCTTTAACATGGACAGAAAATAATAATAATAATTACATTAAGAAAACATTTGGACCAGTAGTTACAATTATTTTTAGATTGACCACCTATTTGCATCCGAGTAATGATCCAATGCAACGGTTGTATCATAGTATAATGTAACGACGCTTTTAGAAAACCATGTTTGTGGTATTTGTATGACCTCAAATTTTGCACACATACTCTCTTCATCTCAATAATCAATCCAAAAAAAAAAAAAAGTTCAATTTGAACCTTAGATATGGTCAAAATGAGTCCCCTCTAAAAACGAATTTGGACCATTCATTTTGTGAATTTCAAGATCTTAGCCTTTATAAACTCAAAATCATTTTTTTTCCTCTTTAACATTGTTCATCTAATGATAATAAAGCCATTCAAAAAAATTGGAAATGAAAAAATCCTTCCAAGGCATAGATCTAAGCATCTCACCAAAACGAACGGCCTATATTAATTGGGCTAAAAAAATACTTTCTAGGTTGTGTTTTCAATTTTTTCTTTTTTTTGTGATTGTTCATTAGAGAGTGTATATTTCAAAATTTAGATCAAACAAATGACTATAAGATGGTTTTTTAAGGTTGTTGCATCGTATTACTATACAACGGTTGCATGAAATCATTACCCTTTGCATCCATTTTTAAGATGGATGCTTTATACCTTTGGACCGCATATTGTAGAAAATGCGGTCCAGCCCGCATGAAACAATTGTTCGTTAGAGGAAATGTTGTTGCAAGAGAGTTTTGTTGGATGAGAATTTCCGAATGTTATCCAGACAGCATACCCATCTTCTAGGATACGCAAATTTGCGGATGTTATCCAAACAGCATACCCATCTTCTAGGATACGCAAATTTCAGAAAAATCATCTCCAAGAATTGGCATATTTGTATAAAGGGCCAGTTGTTCCAAGTCCTTGTCTAGAGTAAACTGAAAAGAAAAAGTGGCCATACAGAACCTCATCCATTCTCTCGTAGCCTAAAAGAGCTTTTATGGATGTTGCAGATATGAATTGTGAGGCAAATTTCACTTGCTTTTTATCCATAATTAACTAAAACTTAATGAGAAGTAACAGGCCAGAGTGTATTCGAAGTATAGTTAGCAATTACGGAAATAACAATATATCGACGAACCAAAATATCAATGATGAATTGGTTTTGCTCTAAATAGTCATAAGTAAAAATCGGGTAAAAAAATACATATTGTTGAAAATTAGTTAAGTTAGTGAATCATGAATATTTTGGATTGGGTTAAACAAAAAAAGTGAAAAAATCAAATCTGAAAAGATAACATAGTATAAGATTATGAGTTGCAATTATTATTGTATACATTAAACCATTAAACTATAATTTTTAGGTTTTTACCTAGTATCTTTCGAGTCATACTTGACAAATTTGTATCTAAACTTTCAATAAATACAATAACAATGCTTACTTTGTTGTCATGACACAAAACGTATGATAGATCTATTGGGTATATAATAAAACAACATCAATATTAAACAGAATAACTACATTAGCAAACAACAACAAAAGGACCGAAGGTATGGAATTATTGTTTGAAAAAAAAATTAAAAGTGACTTCTATAGGATTGCAGGTAACTAAAATCAAAAAATATAAAATAATGGCCAATCCAATTGCTTAAAAAAAACAAAAAACAAAAAATTGCTTAAACAATTCCAAATATAGCCTGCCTAAATCTTTAGTTGTCATTGAATCTCTCTCTTGCTCTTTTCTCTCTCCTGCTCTCTCTTTATAATGATACTATGTATTTAGAGGAAAAAAATATTTTTCATTGAATTACCCTTCTTGTGATATATAGGGTTATTCTGATAGAATATTTTTTGGAGAATATATTGCAGTTTTTTAAGAGTACATAGAGGAAATATTTTCATACAAATTTTTTAAAAAATCATGATTCTTAATTTACTTAAAACTTTTAATATGTTTATCTCTAAACCAAAATTCAAAGATATTAAATCAAAGAAGAGTTAAAGTTATAGGGGTATAATTTTTTGTGAAAACAGTGAAATGCAGATTTATATAGATTCTATTAAAAAACACGATTTTTTTAAAATCCTTTGAAAAGAAAAGAACAATAACATCAGAAAAGGGATTGATCCAATATCACATAAATGCTGCTGGACTTTTACTCACCAGAAAAAAGAAACCCCTGATTTGTGGGAATTGGCAAGCAAAATACTGAAATGTTGGAGGCTGACGGTCAAGACATCTAGACCCATAAAAATTAGATGTAACAGGCAGTAACTTGAATCCACATTCATTCACTACAAGCTCACCATTGGGTGATGCCAGGATAAGAAGTTGAATTGAATTGAATCTTCAGTACATGAATTTCAAGGAAAAAGAAAAGAGAAAAAATAGGTAGCACTGCAACCCGAATAACCCCAAATTACATGGGTATCACAATGGGATGTAGAACCAGACAACCATTGTAACAAACGCGTCAAAACCACCAAAGAAATCATATCAACAGGCCTCTCTATCCGCACATAACATGAACAGTTAAACACTCAATCAAGCCAAGTCCATTGTCTTCCCTATCATTCTCTCTAATCAATCAAAAGGAAAACTCTTTTCTGGAATCAAAACATAATGACAGCCCCAATGAGCAGGACAAGCACAGGAAACAGTATCTTTTCTCTCCCATTAGTCATCAAAGACGACCCCAGAGACTTGGAATGGTGATCTTGGGGCCTGCAAACAGCCGGCATAACAAACTGAGTTAAGGAAAGCAAACCAAGAGAGAAGACAATGATGGAATCCAAAGTTCTAAAGAATGAGGCTCCATTCATAATTTGTAACAAGGCAGGCAAACGTACTTTTGCAAGTGTGCAAGAGCCCCACAATATAAGGCATTATCAGGAACTGGCAACTCTGTCTTGTTGTTAATCTCTGGGTTGAAAACCCTGATATAAACTTCCTGGCCAAGGTACCATGTGTCCAAATTCTCAGCACGTAGGTTCCACATGCCAACATTATCAAGTGAAACTAGAATCGCTGTCCATGCACCTGGGAACACCTGAATGAACAGTATAAACAGTTTTGGTTAGAATAGAGTCTTAATCGGTGAATTACAGATACTAATCAAACTCCTAAGACTATCAAAATACATGTTACACACACATGGAAAACCATACAAACATGCATACAACATTCAGGGAGAGAGAGAGGGAGGGAGGGAGGGAGACAGAGGTACATGCATGCGTGTGGCATATATATTTTTTGAAATGTGGCATACATTCAGGCAATCATGATGTACAGAATGGAATGCATATAAAACAAAATATATAAACGGTAACTGATCGGAAATATTCACATATACAGCATCTTGTGAAACTCTTAGGTGGATATGAGTATATCGGCACCTTCAAAGATAGGTGCATGTTCACACATTCACAACTAGTGACTTTACTCTATGAAATTCAATTATACATGCATGGATACAGGCCTGCAGGTTTACCTGGGTAGTGCAACGAGCAACTCCATCCCACTTATTATATAATCCTCTGCTGTTCTCTGTCCACTCTCCATAGTCCATCCTGCAATTATCCAGATCTACATCATCAGATGTGAATCAAAAGGGTGTATCAAAAGGGTACATGACGCTTTTGATAGGGCACATGATGCTTTTGTATCAAAAGGGTGTCTCCTGCAATTATCCAGATCTACATGATGCTTTTGTATCAAAAGGGTGTCTCCTGCAATTATCCAGATCTACATCTCCCCTGCCCACTTGAAAAGAAAACCTCTGTTTCCTCTAAGTAATGTTAGCCGTTAATGTAACTACAGGAACTTCAAACGGGCCCTTAGTTTTTTATATGTTAAATTATAGAAAAGAAAGAAGAGAGGGACAGAGAAACAAGACCGACATGTGAACAGCAGGAGCAAAGAAATCCTAAAACTATTTCAAGTTAGCAGGGCAGAAAAAGGGATGTCTAAATGGGTTTCAAGTTAGCAGGGCAGAAAAAGGGATGTCTAAATGGGGTACGTCCAAACTGGCCTTTAGTACAAATAAGAAACAAGAAGCAAGGTTAACCTACCCAACAACAAAGAAAGCATAACCATCCATGTGATAATTTTGAACTGAGGTATCATTATTTTGTAAGATGATCTCCATGAATCCCTTGTAATCACCATTAATGATGGATGTTCCAATCCTTGGTGGGCCATTAGTGGGCCGTGTTGGGAAATCCATCTTATAGACACCTGAAATGTTATAGCGGTCCGCAAGCTTAAGAGGAGTGGGGGGATAACTGAACGATATCTCATTCAATGTAGTCCGACGCTTCCCTCCTATCATAACGGGCGGTTTGTTTTTTAACACATAGAGTTGAGTCACATTGATTGAACCATATCTGAAGGAACCCTGAGGATTCGGTCGCGCAGCACCAGCAGAAACATTCCACCTGGTATATACAAAACACAAACCATATTCAATAAACAAATGGCACAGCCATGGATCCAAATTGAATGAGAAAATGAGGGGTTTCTTCATCGAAGCTGAAACTGTTCCAATAATGCAATCACATGATTAACTCTTTTAGACTCATGCAAGCTGCCAATTTCCGACAAGATATAGCCTTGCCAGCAGGATTGGATTTAGGAAATTTCAAAGAAAGTAAACTTAAGACACATTACCAAAGAGTTGGCACCAGAACATTGGGTTTCACACAATACAGGTTTCAGACGAAGACAGGAGTTTTTACACGCATAAAGCAAATTCGGTAAGGCCTCTGGCAACGTTGAAACTAATCATGAAAGCTGAATCTAACAAAGTTCAAATAATATAAGCCCTCTGATAGAGTTGAAGCTAATCGGGAAAGCTGAACTTCAGAAAGTTCAAATAAGAGAGTGGACAAAGAAAATAAACAAAAATGAAATACAAGAACCGCTACAAAAAAAGAACCCCCACCTTTCCTATTTCCATCATACATGCCTACAGGGTTAAGGACCAATCCTTATAGAGGAATGCTCAAGGGAGTTACAACGTGAGATAGTGTAAACATAACACCAAACTGGGGCATCAGCTCTGATGAGTGCTTGCACTCACACTCTGAGGATTTAGTGTTAGTTTGCATTTTTGGTTGTTGCCTTGCCAATGTATCAATTCGTCGAAAGGAATGCTGATATAGTTACATAGAAAGATCATACTGGACCAGATAAAACAAAACAACCAAATAATGACTTGGCAGGTCTTAGGCTTTGGTCTAGTTGCAAGGAAAGTCGTCTGCACGAAGTATCACTTTGTCCTAAAAACAGAACAAGCTAACCTACCCTTCTTTCTAAAATATCAACATTTACAAATTTACAATCTTAAGTTGGTTGTCAAGCAAAGGCCTTGTGCCTAAAATGAAAATAAATACATAGAGATATGCAATTGAATTAAGAAAGACATGGCCCAACCTGACATTTCTCGCCTGATTCATTGACCAAGTTTTGTCATAAAAATCATTAGGTGGATCTGGAAGAGGGCCAGAGGCGGGACCTTTGGAATTGGAATAGTGCAATATAGCTACACCTGTAACTCTAGCCCATGTTGTTTCATTCACAAACCGAGCACTCGCCACGATATAGTAATCACTACTAGCATTCTGATCCATAGTGACCAAGAAAGAGTAAGACTGGCCCACATGTATATCCATGGTTGTGAAATTCACTTGGTTTGTGTATGAGCCTTCTGTCTCTACAAGAGCCATGTTGTGATTCTGGATCCTGAAGTTGAGACTAGTGGAGACTCCAACATTATGTACCCGAATTCGATATGTTTTACCTGTACAACAACCAGACGAACAAATCTTTGATCAAACCAGAGCTCAGGCAAGCAACCATTCTCATTCTTCTGTTTTTTTATGAAAATTGTACTAGTCTGGTCTCCTTATCAGTGTGTGTTTTCCTCTTTCTTCAGTTTGATGCAAACCAATGTCCAGAAAACCAGTCATATGACGCTGACTAACCTGAGTTGATTTGGCTCAAGCACTTGCCAAGAACTCAACCAATTAATACCAAATCCTATTCAGCATAAAATGGAGGGAAGGGGGATTGAGGTATGCGGTATACGGTATACGGTAGTTTAAGCAAATTGCAAATCTTTATCAAGATCTTTGTAGTCATCCTAGCTCAAGAGCAGGCCGAGTCCTAAGAGTCCATGTTTTTGAACATTGGTTCAAACACACTGAAGAAGAAGTAAAAAACTTTAGCCTTAAGCCCTTAACTAAATGTCAAGTCATAATAACACATTTCAAAAAAAAATGCCGATAATAACAAACAAAAACAGTTAAAAAGAACCTCTCTCCATTTGTAAGAGTTTTACAAGGAGTAAGTTGAGCACCTGGGTGGACAAGTATAGTCTCATAATCAATGCCGGCTGGAACAAGTGTATCATTGTAACGATAGGGACCCTTCCCATTAATGAGAACACCATCTGGCATGCCCAGGTCTTTACCATCATCAAGTGCTTGTCTCAAATCCTATTAGAATCGTTGAACATCAATATAAGGATAGCAGACAGAGCAAAAGGAAAGAGCATAGACGAAAATATCACAGGTTAGAAGTATACATGGTTGAGGTTACCAACCGTGTGATTTCGTGTATACCAATCACCAATAAAGATGGCAATATCCCCATCTGGGGTGCCAAAAGGTACCGCTATAATGGCCCTGTTATTAACGATAATCCCTCCATATCCTCCTGCTGCTCTTTGGAAACGAGTTGACGGGAAGTAAAAAAAGCTCCCAATTTGGTCTTTAACCTGAAACTGGTAAGTCCAGTTCCACCCAACAGGGATTGGGCAATTTGTACCCAACACCCCATCTTGCCAAGAATTCCTCCTGTGCTGTATGCCATTCCTAAACCGAAGAAACCAAATGTGAACATATGCACAACACAAAGTTAATGGAGAACATATTATAATTTCCTTAAATCAAATAGAGACAATGATGGGGGAACGAGATGATTGTAAAAACTAAATGATAAGAGAAGGAACTGCTTAAAAAAAAGAGTCACATTAAACATAAAATACAGACAGAGTACAGAGCTTTCAACACTTACCATGTGATTAGTAAAGGCTCATCTAAATTGTTATTAACATTCGCAACCACGTTCCAATTCGTAGTCCAATTGACAGTAGGGCCAGGAAACTTCCCATTAATCCCAATCACCTGGAAGGAAGTAAAGACACATTCATGATCTCACCAAGAGAGAGAGAAGGAGATGGAAATATTTGGGGTCGGGAGAGAACACTTGTAAATTTAAAATGAAAACCAGTTTATTCAAAAATAGGCCCAAAAAATAATTTGGGGGAGAGTTTTTATTTTAAAACGTTTTTTTACAAGAGCTCCAGTTAATTCAAACACTGAGAAGCATAACCCAAAGTAATACTCATCAAACCATGCTACAGTATATATAAAACAGTTAGCTCATATGCTCACTTAAAAAAAAACAAAAAACAAAAAAAACACGTAAAGCCATCTATCTCTTAAGGAAAGAAAAGTAATAACAGGAATTAAAAGGGGGGACAAACTCACAGAGATCCATTTATCTGAACACTTCTGTCTAAGTTTCTATCTCCTCTTCACTATCATGAAAAGCCTAACTAAAGCTTTACCCAAATCCACTAACCATTCTCAAGAATCGAAAAACATAAATCCAAAACAGGAGGAAAGACAAAACCAAACCAACTACATTCATTTCAGATAATCAAACGAAGAAATCCTTTTGTCCAAAAATAAAAAGAAACTACATTCCAACTATGAAACATAGAAATGGGTCAGTTGAGATCGATAGAGAGAGGTAAGTACATGCGGATGACAAAACTGAGAAATGGGTTTATTAACAGGCATAGATTGGAGAAAGGCTAACAGATCTACTCAGAGAATCTCAGTAGCCCTGTATGAGACTTCCTCAGATAATTGCAGAGAAGAAAGAGAAGCGATGCATATCCATACTGAAACCAGAGTTTCTACATTGCTCAGAAATATGCCCAACATGCCCAAATAAGCAAAGAAACAAAATGCTGGAATCAAAAAGAGAGTGAACCTGCTGCTTGACGCCTAGAGGAGAAGCAGTGATGTAGGAGAAGTCCCAATCAAGAAAATCGAAGGGGTCTCCGCCATGACTGAGACCAAGTAGCAGAGAAACAGAGAGAAAACTCACAAGTACAAATCCAAACTGCGCCATTACCTTTCCTTCTTTCTCTTTACATATCTCAGAAGAGAGGGAGGAAGAAGCAGATTGAGAACGAGGAAGATCAACAGTGAGAGGAAAGGAAGAGAAGGCGCACGAAGCGAGAGACAGATGAGAGAGAAAGAGAGAGGAGCTAAGAGTGAGTTGGAAAGCAATTACAGTGTTTCAGAACGGGAATGCTAGTAGGTTAATGCATATTGTCTTATAATGACGCAAATGCCCTTCTGTAAAATGACCGTATTGCCCTTGACAATTTTTTTGTCCGAAAGTACTATTTAAGCTGCCTCGCGCAGTTTCTAACAAAAATACTTGTACTGTGCTCCCCCAAGGGCATACTGTCTCTTTGCTCCCTCGGATGAGAAAGCTACTTGGGGATTTTTTGATCCAAAATTCGGGATCCACTTAAGAGCCAGATAATTATTTACAAAACTAAATTTTGATTTTCTTAGCACTTTATTGAAAATTAGACAATTTATGTTAGCAAACAGTATTTTCATAGAAAATGAGCTTTAATTTTTTTAAAAACTTTTTGCCTCTAGGTTATTCTAGAATTTAACCACCACTTTAAAGAGGCTTCCTCCTTTTTTTTTCTTTCTTTCTTTCTTCTTTTTTTTATTTATTTTTTAATGGGATAGTTTAATCGCCTAGTAAGTTTTCTCTATACAATCTTCACAAATCAATAAAATGGATGGGGTATTGCTCAAGCTCAAATTCTCAAACTTTAGAGAAAAACAACGGTGGGTTTTATAAAAATTGTAACTTACATGTAGAAAGTGCTCTACACTATCCATTTTAGTTAGACGATATAAGTTTGACACATCATTTAAAACATTATTAAAAAGTGACACATGTTTTACGAATGTATTGAATCTACACCATTCAAATAAAATAAATAGTGTTGATTAGTACAATCATATTTCTACAAATACGATTACGAACCTGATATACTTTTTTTTTCAAAAACGAAATTTGAACTATATGAAACCTTATGAACACCTTAAAGCCCAAACCTTAAGTAGCATTTTCGTGGTAATTCAAGTGTTCACGAGGATTGCTTGGAGCATATAGGAGACTATCTTTTGGGGCATTGATAAAAGAAAGTTTGCGGAATTTTCGCATCATATTTGGCATGAGATTGCGGCTCCAACGGTTAAAAGTCAACACCATGATATATTATTATTTTGAAGGTGTTCTCAAAGGAGCATTTGACCAGGTATGTAGTATTATTATAGTATGCTACAAGCTGGAGAAAACCATAACTTGTTCACCCGTTCATCCTTTATTTCATCAACAAGGACAGGGGGTATGAACAGGATGAGTGTCGGTGGTTGAAACGAGGAGTTTTGTCTCTATTTTTTTTTTTTTTTGTATTTTTTATAGGTTAATGGTGAGAATAGAGGGCGGGACATTATGTTTAGATGTGCTCCACCCCATTTCCAATTTTGTCTTTGGTCTTTTTTGAGCCGTATGAGGACCAATTTGGATTGCCCATTCAGGCTGGATGAACTAATTCTTCAATGGACAAATTGGTTCAAAAACAATTCAATTACATTTTCAAATTTAAAAAATAAAAAATAAAAATAATAATTATAATAAAATCAAATAGGTGGGCAATAAGGGATTCCGTTGACTACAATTACTGACATTCTCACCCAAATCTTTAACAACACCAGTGTTCCAAAGAACGAATAGGCCAACGAGTCGGTCCTAGCCCAATCTGATTAGTCAGATCGATTCCGACTAAATCGGCTAATTAGTGCCCTAAGTTTTACTAAAAAATATAATTTGGGTAAAAAATCTCAAAAAATTTGTGAAAAAAATACTTAAAACTTAAATTCATTGTTTTTTTTATATTTTCACATAAAATAAGCAAAACAAAAAAATATTATAGGCATAATTGGGTTTCGGAGAAAATTTTTAGGCACTTGAAGCAATATTTTTTTAGTGAACTAATAATTGAAGGATATCACATAATATTTCACAATAGTACAAAAAATTGCTCAAAAGTAGTAAGGTCGGCGATAGGGTTTAGGATTTTCTTGAGTTTCGCTATCAGGGTTGAAAGAGGAAAAAATCGTCCGATGAAGTCTGTAGGACCGCAGCAATACCTTTATGCCAAGTAGGAATACTACCTTGTAAAGTTCATAAGCCATTGTCACCTAGATTTTAAAAACTGTTCATGCTCCTCACCTCCTTGGCCTGTGTTTTGCCCCTCATTCTCATTGTCATGTTTATGAATAATTAGCCTATGGTGTTCGTGACATGCACGCCACTGTCCAGGTGTGTAGCTGTTGTGCTTGGCTCTATTGACTTCTTCCCGAACTAACATAAGTCCCTCTTCTTCCGCAGTGCAGGTCCTAGTACCTTGTGGCACCTCACACTATATGACTATTGGCTCATGCCAATCATCTCGCATTTCCCCATCATCACTGCTGTCGTCTTCATCGATGCCCTCATTGAAATCAACTGTGAGCAAAGAAAGAGCACCAACCAAACATCCATTGTTGGCATCTAATGGTCTGGGACAACTAAGCAAAATGTAAAAATCCCATATGAACATCTAATATACTTTCTCATAGTACACTTGATATCTACTACACGCCTAATGATGGTTACTTAGCATATCAATGGAGAAATCGGGCTTGGGCTTGATTAGTTAGTAGTGCTACATCTCAAGTTTGATACCTACCGTTGAACTAACCAAGAAAAAAGAAAGTCGATTGACCTATTTATTCAGCCAAAAAAAAGGAAGGACAACTTCGAAGTAATGGTCGCACTTTGGTCGCATACTAGTGGAAATTGAATCCTGAATGAAAATAACAACAATTGAACTGATAAAATAACTATAATAAAATGATTGACACAAGCTATTCGTATGTAAGACCTTATGTCTTTGATATAAAAATATTATCATCGTCCTTAGTCGTTAGGCGAGAAACCGGTAGGCTAAGGGTATGCCACAATGTTAAAGAAACTTTTTCTTTGACTTTGATGGTAGTTAAAGGTATGCCTCCTAGTCACCCAAATTTGTATCTAATGGCTAGGGGTAATTGTGAGCATACTGTACAAAAAGTATACGCTTTTATCGTACACTTAAATAAGGGAAAAAATCATAAAAGGGTAAGACCTAAACAATCAAATCAAGGCACACCTCAAAAATTCACTAGAAAATGTTGTTTTGATGCTAAAAAATCCTCAAATCGATCATCTCGGCCTCAAAATATATAAACATGACAAAAACATGATTTCTTGTCTCACAAATAGTACATCATGTAATGCATTTTCTGGACCGTTAATTTTCAAGATTTTCAATTGTTCATAGATATGTTCAACCTACATTATTTTTCAGCTTTGAATTTTATAATTAGATGTAAAATTAATTTTTAAGGTCGTCACAAAGATTTATAGTAATGAAACAACACCTCTCGATACTATTTGAAAGTGTGCCTCACTTTGATTGTTTAGGGCCCTAGCTTTATACAAACCACACCCCTTAAAACCTATAAAGGAAAAAGTTTATTTAACGGTGAGGTCCTTAATAATTAAATTAAGGAGCACCTCAAAATGCCAATAGAAAATGTTATTTTGAAGCCCTAAAAATCCTCAAATCGATCATCTCAACGTCAAGATGTTTGGACATGAGAAACAATGGATTTCAGGTCTTGAAAATAGTCCATCTTGTAATGTATTTTTAGACTATCAATTTTTAATATTTTTCAAGTTTTCACGTATTTTTCACTATAACAGTGCACAAATTGGGTAATCTTTACAACAAATCGCTAATTCATACCAATTAGTACAATATCAGCCAATTGGTGCACTATTTGAAAATTTTAGAATACATAACCTTTAGAATCGAGCCAACTTGGGATCAGCCGGTGACCGATCCCGATTTAGTTGGCCAATTTTTGAAACATCGGCCGATCTTTTGATCACTGAACAAAAACATGACAAGTATCTATATATCGAAAAAAGCGGTTGGGATTATGATGATAGCACCTCTCACCCTAGTCACCACGTTGTGGTTTCTATTCCTACTAACTTATTCAAAAAAAAATCCAACTCCTAAAACTATTTGAAAAAACCAGTAGGGGCGGTCTTCCTCACTCTGGATTAACCCCCAAAAAAAAAACGAAAGAAAAAGAAGGGCAAATTACAAAAAACTCCCTAGACCACACTTTCTATGTAATTTACCCCCAACCTAAGTTTTTCTCTCACTTTTTTCCAAAAAATACACTTGCTATGTAAATGCCCTCCCAAGGAGAAAAAATCATTTTTTAGAAATGGAAATGCCCTTTCCATACACAAAAATCAATTTGGCCATATTTGACATTGACTTTCGAAGCTCATTGCTGGAGCGAACTACCGCAATGCCGGAGTGCATGATCGACTGCCGAAGCGCACATACACATTGCTGGAGTGTTGTGACTCCATATTGCACTGTCGGAGTGCACTTACACAATGTCAAAGTGCATGATCCACTACCAGAGTGCACATAGACAGTGCCGGAGTGCTGTGACTCCAAAGTCATGCACTGTCGGAGCACATCATCTACTATCGAAGTGTACATACACAGTGTTGGAACGCACTTACACAGTGTAGGAACGCATGATCCACTATCGGAGCGCACATAGACAGTGCAAGAGCGTTGTCTGCAGAGTGTTGCACTGCCGGAGCGCACTCACGTAGTGTCGGAGCGCACATAGACAGTGCAAGAGCGTTGTCTCCAGAGTGTTGCACTGCCGGAGTGCACTCACGTAGTGTCGGAGCGCACATCTATTGCCAGACCGCACATATATAGTGCCGAAACGTTATGACTCTAGATTCCAATGTCGGAGCACACATAGATAGTGCTGGAGCGTATGATCCACTGCCGGAGAGTACATAGATAGCACCGAAGTGCTGTGACTCCATAGTGTTGCACTGCCGAAACGTACTTACACATAGGAAAGAGAGGAGTGGGTAAGGTAAAAGTAAGGGAGGGAAGTTTAGGTTTTTTTTTATTTTTTATTTGGCTTGGGGTATTTGCATAGAAAATATATTTTTGAGAAAAAAGTGAGAGAAAAAATTAAGTTGGGGTAAGTTGGAGAGAAAGTGTAATATTGAGTTTTTTTTTTTTGTAATTTTTTTTTTTTTAAAAAAAAAGTGCTTAAAAATCGAA